TTTTTTTTTTTTTTAAAGAAGATGTTGGGGGTAGGAGTTTATTTATTTTTGCTGTGTTGGGTCTTCGTTTCTCTAGCTGTGGCAAGCAGGGGCCACTCTTCATCACGGTGTGCGGGCCTCTCACTATCGCGGCCTCTCTTGTTGCGGAGCACAGGCTCCAGACGCGCAGGCTCAGTAGTTGTGGCACACGGGCCTAGTTGCTCCGCGGCATGTGGGATCTTCCCAGACCAGGGCACGAACCCGCGTCCCCTGCATTAGCAGGCAGATTCTCAACCACTGCGCCACCAGGGAAGCCCTGTGTACATATATTTTTAAAAATATTTACTTATTTGGCTGTGCCAGGTCTTAATTACAGCATGCAGGATCTTTAGTTGCGGGATGCGGGCTCTCAGTTGCAGCGTGCGGGATCTAGTTCCCTGACCAGGGATCAAACCTGGGCCCACTGTATTGGGAGCATGGAGTCTTAACCACTGGACCACAGGGAAGTCCCAGTAGTGTGTATATTTTAATCCCAAACTCCTAATTTATCCCTCCCCCACCAACATAGTGATTTGATATGGTATACTGCAAAATGATCCCAACAAGTCACCATACATAGTTACAAATTTTTTTTTTCTTGATGAGTTCTTGGATGACAAGTTCTTTTTTTTTTTAAATAGACCTTTATTGGAGTATAATTGCTTCACAATACTGTGTTAGTTTTTCTTGCACAACTGAATCAGCCATATGCATACACATGTCCCCATATCCCCTCCCTCTTGAGCCTCCCTCCCACCCTCCCTATCTCACCCCTCTAGGTCATCGCAAAACACCCAGCCGATCTCCCTGTGCTATGCGGCTGCTTCCCACCAGCCACCTATTTTACATCGGTAGTGTGTATATGTCGATGCTACTCTCACTTTGCCCCTGCTTCCGCCTCCCACCCCAAGTCCTCAAGTCCATTCTCTATGTCTCCCTCTTTATTTGGATGAGAAGTTCTTGATGAGAACTTTCAAGACCTACTTTCCTAACAACTTTAAAATATGCAACACACAGTATTAATAACTACAGTCACCATTCTAGACATTACATCCCCATGTCCTACTTATTTTGTAACTGGAAGTTTCATTCCTTCCTAAGACTGAATAATATTCCATTGTGTAGAGAGACCATATTTTGTTTAACTACTCATCAGTTAACAGATACTAACTTGGGTTGTTTCCACCTTCTGGCTATTGTGAATAGTTCTGTGAACATGGATATGCAAGTTTCTGTCTGTGTCCCTGATTTAAATTCTTTGGGGTATATATTTAGCAGTGGAATTGCTGGGTCTTATGGTAATTCCATGTTTAACTTTTTGAGGAACCATCCAATTGTTTTCCACAGTGGCTGCACCATCTTCCATTCCTACTAGCAACATACAAACGAGGGCCCCCATTTCTCTGCAGCCTCGTCAGCACTTGCTATTTTCCGTCTTTTGAGTTTGGCCGTCCTAGCGGCTCTGAGGTGGGACCTCACTGTTGGGCTGACTGCACCCCTGTGACTGCTGCTGCTGAGCACCTTTTCATGTGCTTAGAGAAACAGGTGCACATCTTTGGAGAAATATCTATTCAAGTCCTTTGCTCATTTTTTATTGGGTTGTTTGTCTTTTTGTTTTTCAGTTGTAGGAGATCTTTATATATTCTTGTTACTAAACCCTTATCCAGAGCTAGAATTTGAACCCTTTCTGAACGCTGCTCCCTTCCAACGCCCCTGGAGATGCTGTGGCCCCCTGGGCCCCTGTTAAGCAGGGCTGAGGTTTATTGCCGGGCCTGGGCTTGCTTTGCTCTTTCCCAAGTTCTGGGTTGACACTTGTGCTGTGACCACCATCCTTCGGGACCTGATTAGGTGGTGTCCTTGGCAGCTTCAGGGAAAGCTCCCGGGATCAAAGGGCCCAGGCAGTTTTGCTGAGCTTGGAAGCCTGGGGGGTGGCCCCCGCAGTAGGGGGAAGGAGGCTGGAATGGGAGCCGGGGGTAGGGGTGTGAGATTCGGCCGCCCCCCCCGCCCCCGCCCCCGGCAAGCTGTCTTGAGGGCTGTATAGCACCACTGCTCACTTGGTCGGAGCCAAAACCACCGTAGCTGCCAGATGAGGTGAAGGCTCGGTGGGAGTGCTGGTGTGTAGATAGCAGGGGTGTCAGTGCTGCCTGGGGGATTCTGTAGGCTTCCTGGGCAGAGGTGCTAGGATGTGGGAACCCCGACTGCCGCACCCCGCCCCCGACCTGGCATCTCCAGCAGACGCGGGCTGTCCCATCATCAGGCTCCAGGACCGGTATGTGGGACACATACCCTGTGAGGCACATCCTGCCCACATTGTGTCACACTGGGACACAGAGGCCCAGAGAGGGTGGGAATGCACCATGGCCACACAGCAAGATCAAGACTGACCTCGAGATGGGCTTGTGGCACCACCATAGCTTGGGCAGGAAGACTCTGAGCCTGAGTCTCCCCTCTGGGGCAGAAGTCCTTGCCCTTGTTGTGTTTCTCCTTGCATACCCCCAGGGACAGGCAGCTCACCACTTATGAAGCAGCCTGTTCCATTGCTGGGGGACTCTGACAGAAAGTTCTCTGGGCTGGGAGGAAGAAGGCAGCCCTGTCACACGTTTCCATTCTGAGCACAAAAGGGCAGCGACTTCCTGGGTCACTAGGAGGGAAGCGTAGGCCTGGATTCAACCTTGGCCTGGCCGATTCCATTTGGGGCCCAGCCTCTGCTGCAGCCCTGGACACCCTCTTCACAGGCCAGCCTGAGGCCGCCCAGCTGCTGGATGGGTAGGAGGGGCGGACACTGAAGGCCCTGGAGACGGGTACTGACTGTCCTAAGGGTGCCTGGGATAGCCCCACCCTCGCCGGCCTGGATCCCAATCCTTGTGTCAGGACGCTGGCTCCACCTGAGGGCCTGTCTCCTCTGCCGGGGAACCAAGGGACACAGCAGACCTGGAGTGGGAGGGTGACTGTCCCCTTGAGCGTGTGATGCCCCCCGGCCCTGTCCCTCTGTGCCCCTGGATACAGCACCAGCTGCCTCACCAGCCTTAAGCCTGCCAGCCCCCTCCCACCAAGCAGAGGTTTCTAGAAGGCACTGCTCTCTTCCCCCAAGGCCCCCACCCCACCCTGTTCTCTTCTGGCTGCCTCCTCGGCTGGGAAGGCCCTCCCTGCTTGGGCAACTCCCACTGCCATTGTTTTTTCCTTTTCTGTAGAACAAAATACAGAAAAGTACAAAAGATGCTATAACAAACACCCACCACCCAAAATAAGCGTATTCAACATTTTATCATATTTCCTTCAGATCTTGTTTGTTTTACAAACTGAAACACCGAGACAAAGCCAGAGCCCTCCACATCCCCCTCCCCCAGCCGCCCTGCCCCCTCCCAGGGGCCCCCCCGAAGAGTCTGCTTGTGGCTCTTGGGCTCCCTGGAAGCCCGCAGCAGCCAAGCAACCGTACACAGCACCGCGTGCACCGAACCTGTGGCTCTTGGCAGCTGTTTTGATTTCGGGAATTATGTTTCTGTGGCCCATGCTGACGCCTGCTCTTTGTTTAGGCTGGTGACAAAGACCCCCACCCTGGGGAGTCTCCCCAGAGCCCCCTGGGTGGTGGGGGGAGACGGGTCTGCCTGCCTCCCTCGGCAGGAGCACAGGCGAGGCTGCTTCTAGGCCCAAAGCCGCAGTGCCGGATCTTAGAGCGACTCTCCGTGTCACTGCCTGGGGGCTTAATGGATGGTGGAGGGAAAGACAGGGAGGGAAGATGGCAGGAAAAATTTAAGGAGGGAGGAGGGGAAGCATGCATCTGGGACCCACGCGGCCAGCGCCCCCCTCACCTTCTCTCCCGGTCCTCCCTGCAGCCAAGTACCCGGCCATCAAGGCCCTGATGCGGCCGGACCCTCATCTCAAGTGGCTGGTGCTGGGGATGGTGCTGGCGCAGCTGCTGGCCTGCTGGCTGGTGCGGGGCCTGGCGTGGCGCTGGCTGCTCTTCTGGGCCTACGCCTTCGGGGGCTGCGTGAACCACTCGCTGACGCTGGCCATCCACGACATCTCGCACAACACGGCCTTCGGCACTGGCCACCCTGCCCACAACCGCTGGTTCGCCATCTTCGCCAACCTGCCCTTGGGTGTGCCCTACGCCTCCTCCTTCAAGAAGTACCACGTGGATCACCACCGCTACCTGGGCGGCGACGGGCTGGACGTGGACGTGCCCACACGCCTCGAGGGCTGGCTCTTCTGCACGCCGGCCCGCAAGCTGCTCTGGCTGGCGCTGCAGCCCTTCTTGTACTCGCTGCGGCCGCTCTGCGTGCACCCCAAGCCCATGACCCGCATGGAGGTGTTCAACGCCCTGGCGCAGCTGGCGGCCAACGCCACCATCTTCACCCTCTGGGGGCTCAAGCCCATGGTCTACCTGCTGGCCAGCTCCCTACTGGGCCTGGGCCTGCACCCCATCTCGGGCCACTTTGTGGCTGAGCATTACATGTTCCTCAAGGGCCACGAGACCTACTCCTACTACGGGCCCCTCAACTGGATCACCTTCAACGTGGGCTACCACGTGGAGCATCACGACTTCCCCAGCATCCCGGGCCGCAGCCTGCCCCTGGTACGTGGCCATGGTCGCAGGGCTGTGATGGCACCTTAGTGGGAGGTGGGGGAACGCGGGGAGGGCTTTGGGCCACACTCCGGCCTTTCTCTCGTGCTGATCACGGGATGGCTACGTGCTCACTTGGGGTCCCCAGGGCAGGAGGAAAGGCCACCTGGCACACGGAGTGCCGGGCTGGAGAATAGGAAGGTGAATTCGGGGGGGCGGGGCAGGGGCTCAAGGAGCATTTTACAGTTCAGGCCTCTTGGTTTAATGAAAACCCGTTTGAGCACAGCTATGATATTCACTGGCTGGCTGTGTGTCCTGGGGCAAGCCGCTTGCCCTCTCTGTGCCTCAGCTTTCTCTCCTGTAAATGGTGCAGCAGTAACGATACTGCAAGTGAAGCGCCTCCCCTTCCTGACCCTGTCCCTCCGCATTTCTTGTCACTGCCCTGTGACCCTCCACGGGCCCCCTCACGGCACAGAGACGACAGGGTGGGCCTTGCCCTTTGTGACCCAAGGGGCTTGGCCTGAGCTGCCTCAGAGTGGAAGCCTCTGGGCTGGCACCTCTGTCTTGGGAGATCTGGGTTGGAGAATTTCTAAAGAAAGAGGGAGGGGGAGGAGGGGGGGGGGAGGAGTTGTTGTTGTTGTTCTGGTCTGGCACTGGTCGGTTAGAGCAGAAGTGACCGCGCACAGGGGGTTGGAGATTGTGGTGGTGGGAAGGGTGTCTGAGTGTGCGAGACTGTGTGTACGTCTGTGTGCCCGCATTCCTACACGTGATTAGGTGTGCCTGTCCATATGTGCATGTCTGTGAGTGCATGTTCACCCACTCGTGTGCTGGAGTGCACGTGAGCACTGGTCTGGGTGTACAGGTGTTTGTGCCGTGGCCCACGTGACTCTGGAGTCTGACAGCCTGTGTGTCCACCCTGGCTGTGCAGGCCCCCCCAACCCCCAATGGTACTGAGGTCCTGCTCTGTGCCGGGCACCATCTCACCGAAGCCTCACCACAAGCCTACGCAGCATTTCAAGCCCATCACGCCCATTTCATGGACGCGAAGGGAGAGGCTCAGGGAGCAGGGGTCCCTGACTCAGGAAGCAGCAGAGCCAGAATCTTGACCCAGGACACTCGCAGAAGCAGCTGCTGTCAGCTGTGAGCCTTTCCTTCTCCCAAGCAAAGTCAAAGGCTCCCTGTTCCTGCCGTGCGTGTCACCTCATCCCCCTTAGGCCCTCCTTTTCAGTTATAAAGCAGGCCCTGTGCACCGGGTGTGTCCTCTGTGGAGGGAGGGGGAGGCCTCCCCTGCAGCCGGTGTGGATGTAGGTGCTGAGGCTGGAGCACTTCTTGGAGGAGGCGGGCTGAGGGTGTCAGGTGCAGAGAGGGGCAAATAAGTCCTGAGGCTGGCAGGAGGGCGACGGGGTGGGAGTATGGTGGGAGCCAAGGTCAGAGGGGTTTGCAGGTCCGAGAGGGCACCGAACACCGGGCTGAGGTGCGTGGACGTGACCTTGGTTCAG